TGACACAGAGGAAGAAGCGTAGAAACATGGAAGACTTTGTAGTCGAGGCATCATGTGGAGCAATGTGAAACATTAAACATAAATAAACTGGTGTACAAAACTCACATACCTGCATTTCAATGGACAGCATAAAAGGACACGTGAGCTGGGTTCTGGTGCTCAGATTAGCTATTGATGATCACGTTGATAAATCATATAAAACAAATAGCCAATCACACAAAAAACATGTTGCTGTGACTGTGAGCATTACACAATTAACATTAAACTAAACAAACACAACAGTACGTTATTGTCCTTATAAAATAAAAACATACATTTTGTCCACCGAGATAATACAGGCACCTTACCCTCAAGTGATCCTCAGGTGCTATGAGAATCTCCCACAATGCATTGCCGTAACAAAGCTAATGCAGGCACACGTTTGTGACACCAGATGGCGCAATTGTGTATGTGAAATTGTAGAAATGTAGACAATTCGACTGTAGCGCCGCCACTGTGGGCTAAGCCCCGAATGTTTCCAGGTCCAGGCGACGCCCCTGGTCCAGACTGCGGGCAAAGTTAAACGTGGGTTTAACGCTGAGTGGTTTGCTAAAAAGAAATGGCTAACGGCGAGCATCCAGAAGAATTCCCTCTTTTGCTTTCCTTGCCTGCTTTTTGGTGAAGATCAAGGTACTTGGTCGAGGACAGGTTACAAGGACTTAAAGCATCTTTCGGAAAGGACAATGAAGCATGAGAGCAGCAACAGTCATTTGGAAAATGCCGTAAAATTGGGATTACTTGGAAGGGTGAATGTTGCAGCTCAGATTGACAGCGCCTACAGACGCGGCATTGATTCTCATAATAGGAAGGTGGAAGAAAACAGGTACGTGCTTGGTCGGATCATCACCTGTATTAAACTGTGTGGGAAATGTGAGACAGCACTGCGGGGCCACAACGAGTCGGCGGACTCTCTGAATCCAGGGATATTCAGGTCAATTTTCGAGACAATGTGTGAGGGCGATTCCAGGCTTCAACGGCACTACGAAGCTCAGCTTGTTTTCAAAGGGACATCAAGCACCATACAGAATGAACTCTTGGACTGCATGTATGATGTGTACAGGGAGGAAATAGCCAAGCAAGTGGACAACACATCATTTGTTGCCGTTCAGGCCGACGAGACAACCGATGTCTCCTGTAAATCGCAAATGGTGATTGTGCTGCGATACATTATGCCTGACCTCACAGTTACAGAGCGTTTTTTGGAGTTTGTGGAAGTAAAGGACAAAACTGGTGTAGGTCTCTCTAACAGCATCAAGGCTGTTCTGGAACCCCTGAAGCTGAAAGAAAAGCTAATCGCTCAGACCTATGACGGGGCGGCCGTCATGAGCGGTAACGTGCGCGGGGTACAGACGGTGATGAAGGAGACGTACCCAAACGCTCAGTTTGTTCACTGCTACGCCCACCAACTGAACCTGACCCTGCAGCAACTGTGTTCAGCAAGGATGAGCATCCTGAAGGTGTTTTTTGCAGATCTAACTGCTTTTTCCACTTTTTTCTCCGGTGCTCTAAAACGTGTTGCAGCTCTTGCAGAGGCAACACAGAGACGCATCCCACGGCCACCGGCTGTGAGATGGAACTTTAAAAGCAGAACTGTGAACGCGGTTTGGGAGACCCGAGATGCACTACTTCAGTGTATGAAGCATATACGCGCACAACCAGGATGGGATGCGGTCACCATAAGTGAGGCATACGGCCTGTCAAAGAAACTGCGGGACCGAGCATTTATGCAGCTCCTGGAGTTTTTTTCGTTGCTTATGCCAGAAGTGGATGTTCTATACAACACTCTGCAAAAACGAAGCATCGATGCACCTGGGATCAACAGCGCGCTCTGCCGTTTCAAGGAAAATGTTCAGAAAATGAGGCAGAAAACTGATGCATTGGCCGCCACTGCTCATGATGGAACAGACGAGCCAGGCCGACGAGTCAGCAGCACAGCGCCGGTGATGAAGGAGGCTTGTGACACAGTCATCTCACAGGTGGAACAGAGGTTCTCACAGAGTGACCATTTGATCGCTGCAAAGCTTGTTGACAGCTCATTCTTCCCACAGCATGTCCTGTCATTTCCTACACCTGAGCTTGACTGCGCCGTGAAACTGTGGCCTGCGTTGGGAAACAAGGAGAAGTTGAAGTCTGAGCTGACCACGCTCTACCGCCACAGTGAGCTTCACACTGGAAACACTGCCCTGTCTCTGTTGAAATCCATTCACGAGAACAACTTGGAGGAAACGTTTGCTGAGACTGTTATTTTGGTCAAAATAATAGTGACAACTCCGATGACGACATCCGAGTCAGAGAGGAACTTTTCCACCCTCAAAAGGATAAAGACTTTCACTCGCAACACCATGGGACAGCCGCGACTTAACGCATTGGCCATGCTTTCAATTGAAAGCCAGTTGATCCAGCAACTACAGGACTTCATCCCCAAAGTGATAGACACATTCTGTCAGAGGAAGGACCGCCGTGCCGCTTTTCTTTTCAACTGAGCCTTCAGCTTTGGTAAGTTCATTTATGTCATATATTTTGTTGATCTTCTGTGTTTTGCCTCTGCTGGATCGATTGATATTGTGACCTCGATGATGAGTGTCTGTGTTTTCCTTATATTTACAGTCTATGGTGTTTTAATGCTAAAGCATTACGGTTGTTGTTATTGTTAAGAATTACTTTGTGATGGTGACCTTTACTCCATGTATGAAGGTGCATTACTATGACATCCCCACGCTGTGTACGTAAATGTATGCGCTCACAGTGTTGCTCCTGTGGTCTTCAGTATGTAATTTGACACTCCCCCTCTCTCTCTCCTCCCCCCCTCTCTCTGTCCCCCCTCGCTCTCTCCTCCCTCTCTCTGTCCCCCCCCTCTCTCTCTCTCTCTCTCTCCCCCGACCTCTTTCTGCCCCCCCAGTTTTGTACACCTAGAAACGCCACTGGACACACGACACATCAAATCACATCTACAGATCAAGGCGAAGCGAATGGAAGTACTCCCATACTCCTAGCGGGAAAATGTTTGTGAAAAACGTGTGCAAAGTCTCCGAAAACGGAGCAGTGGCTGTGATGCTAGCTTTGCGGCTAGCGGTTAGTTGTTATTGTTTGAAGTTGTTGCTATGGAAACAACATGACGGAGAAAAAATGTATATCTTCTACATATAATAACGGACAAAGTAAAGAATGAAGTGTCGGCTATGCCTGTTTGAAGTTGTTGCTATGGAAACAACATGACGGAGAAAAAGTATAATCTTCTACATATAATAACGGACAAAGTAAAGAATGAAGTGTCGGCTATGTTTAAATGTTCGGAATTTGACCGTGTATGTTGGCCCTCTTGAGTTGCCGTACGTCCGTCATATGACGGATGACGGATGCGACGGAAATACACCCGAACATATCTGGTACTGACACCGGAAAAAATCTGCCACTTCCTTACAGAGCCCCTCCTCCAACACACACGAACGCGCACATGACCAATGAGGGCACAAGATAAGTTTGTGCACAGATGGAAGGTTGACAGGCAGGTAGGCCATCCAGTTATTTTAGCCGGGCCGGCTCAGATGATTGGTCGTGCTTTTTACAGTACTACGGCTTACACAGATGACATTTTGTAATGGATGTAAAGACTGAATCTAACTAGATGTTGTTCTTCTCTAGAGGGCAATACTGCACAATCACTGTGAGTTTAAGTCTCTACTGGATTTATTTGTATGCGTAATGGATCAGGTTTTTTTTTAACTGTAATGGCTTGAAATCGCCTACAGTATGTTCTGGGTGACCTTTTAAATTTAACCAGATCTTTATTTTGCTACCCTTTTCCTGTTTTTTAGGAGTGCTAGAAGCGAAGGAATTTTAAAATGAAGGTAATTGTTTTGCCCCTAGAGGCTAGACTTTAGCCTAAAAAAATCTATACTATTACTACTACTACTACTACTACTACTATTACTACTACTATACTAACAATACTCTAGCCGCTTAAGTGTCTACTGGATTTATTTGTATGCGTAATGGTCAGGGTTTTTTTTTTTAACTGTAATGGCTTGAAATTGCCTACAGTATGTTCTGGGTGACCTTTTAAATTTAACCAGATCTTTATTTTGCTACCCTTTTCCTGTTTTTTAGGAGTGCTAGAAGCGAAGGAATTTTAAAATGAAGGTAATTGTTTTGCCCCTAGAGGCTAGACTCTAGCCTAAAAAAAACTATAATATTACTACTACTACTACTACTATTACTACTACATTACATTACATTGCATTTAGCTGACGCTTTTATCCAAAGCGACTTACACATTCGACCAGGAAGACACAACCTTGAAGAAAACAGAATCATATAAGTACATCAGGTTTCATAGAGCCAAAACATTTCAAGTGCTACTCAACTGGCTTTAGATAAGCCAGTCCTTTATTAGTATATAAGTGCTTTGTTAATAGTTCTATCGCTCGAAGTGGAGTCGAAAGAGATGAGTTTTCAGTCTGCGCCGGAAGATGTGCAAGCTATCTGCTATCCTGATGTCAATGGGGAGCTCATTCCACCATCCTGGAGCCAGGACAGCAAACCCACATGTTTTTGCCGATGGGAACTTGGGTCCCCCTCGCAGCGAGGGCGCAGCGAGTCGTTTGGCTGATGCAGAGCGTAGTGCACGCGCTGGCGTGTACGGTTTAACCATGTCCTGGATGTACGAAGGGCCAGATCCATTCGCAGCATGGTAAGCAAGTACCAGTGTCTTGAAGTGGATTCTAGGAGTTACCGGAAGCCAGTGAAGGGAGCGGAGGAGCGGAGTGGTGTGGGAAAATGTAGGAAGGTTGAAGACCAGACGAGCCGCTGCATTCTGGATGAGCTGCAGAGGTCGGATGGCACATGCAGGTAGACCAGCCAGGAGGGAGTTGCAGTAGTCTAGGCGTGAGATGACGAGAGCCTGGACCAGAACCTGCGTCGCTTTCTGTGTCAGCTGGGGACGTATCCTCCTGATGTTGTAAAGCGTGTATCTGCAGCAACGGGTTGTGGCAGCTATGTTTGCAGTGAAGGACAGGTTGTTATCTAGGGTATACTACTATACTATACTAACGATACTCTAGCCGCTTAAGTCTCTACTGGATTTATTTGTATGCGTAATGGATCAGGGTTTTTTTTTAACTGTAATGGCTTGAAATCGCCTACAGTATGTTCTGGGTGACCTTTTAAATTTAACCAGATCTTTATTTTGCTACCCTTTTCCTGTTTTTTAGGAGTGCTAGAAGCGAAGGAATTTTAAAATGAAGGTAATTGTTTTGCCCCTAGAGGCTAGACTCTAGCCTAAAAAAAACTATAATATTACTACTACTACTACTATTACTACTACTATACTATACTAACGATACTCTAGCCGCTTAAGTATCTTCTGGAACCTTTGTTGATGTTTAATAAATTGATCTAATAAATGTTAACTGTTTAAATATATATCCTGACTGAATGTTATTATATGTTATTGCTCACTCATTTTGAGCTTTAGTCTGTTCTGGAAATGTTTTTATGTCTTACTAATTTCTGTTGTTGTTTATCATATTTTCTAAAGTTTGACTGTCAAGGCTGCCTTCTTCGTAGTCGTCGGGGACATCTGGGACGATACTAGAAAGGAAATTAATGAATCTTCTCCACCGTGGTGTTTTCAAGGCGGCTATCTCCTGAACACAACGTTCTTTCACTTGTTGGAGTTCACGGATTCTCTCAAGCAAAGTCATTATCTCTGAATCCTTCTCATCAAAAAAGCGTTCCTTCTGTTGTTCCAGTTCGTGATTTCTCTCATGCAAAGTGACTATCTCTGCATCCTTCTCCTCAACAAAACGTTCCTTCTGTTGTTCCAGTTCGTGATTTCTCTCATGCAAAGTGACTATCTCTGCATCCTTCTCCTCAACAAAACGTTCCTTCTGTTGTTCCAGTTCGTGATTTCTCTCATGCAAAGTTGCCATCTCTGCATCCTTCTCCTCAACAAAGCGTTCCTTCTGTTCTTCCAGTTCGTGGTTTCTCTCATGCAAAACTACTATCTCTGCATTTTTCACCTCCACACAACGCAACTTCTCTTGTTTGAGTTCCTGGTTTGTCTTTTGCAAGGCAGCTATCTCTGCATCCTTCTCCTCAACACAGCGTTCCTTTTGTTGTTCGAATTCCTGGTTTGCCTTTTGCAAGGTGGCCATCTCTGCTTTGTCCTTCTCGTGCATCTTGAGGAGCTTTTCATATTTCATGTTCAGTTCCTCATAGTTTCCGCGCAAAACTTTCTGCTCAATTTCCAGGGCATTCATTTTCACATCGTGCCTCACTCCTGGTTCCACCTTCACCTCATTTTCCTTCTTGTCCACCTTCTCCTCAACAGAACGTTCCTTCTCTTGTTTCAGTGTTTGGTTTTCCTTCAGCAAGGCGGCCATCTTTGCCTCCTCCTCAACACAATGCTCCTTCAGTTGTTTGAGTTCCTGGTTTCTCTCACACAAAGCAGCTATCTTGACAGTTTTCTCCTCAACATAACGTTCCTTTTGTAAATGGAGTTCCTGGTTTCTCTCACACAAAGCAGCTATCTTGACAGTTTTCTCCTCAACATAACGTTCCTTTTGTAAATGGAGTTCCTGGTTTCTCTCACACAAAGCAGCTATCTTGACAGTTTTCTTCTCAACATAACGTTCCTTTTGTAAATGGAGTTCCTGGTTTCTCTCACACAAAGCAGCTATATCTACAGATTTCTCCTCAAGACAACGCTCCTTTTGTTGTTTGAGTGTTTTGTTTTCCTTCAGCAAGGCAGCTATTGCTGCATCCTTCTCCACCACACAGCGCTCCTTCTGTTGTAGGAGTTCCTGGATTCTCTCACGCAAAGCAGCTATCTTGACAGTTTTCTTCTCAACATAACGTTCCTTTTGTAAATGGAGTTCCTGGTTTCTCTCACACAAAGCAGCCATCTCTACAAATTTCTCCTCAAGACAACGCTCCTTTTGTTGTTTGAGTGTTTTGTTTTCCTTCAGCAAGGCAGCTATTGCTGCATCCTTCTCCACCACACAGCGCTCCTTCTGTTGTAGGAGTTCCTGGATTCTCTCACGCAAAGCAGCTATCTTGACAGTTTTCTTCTCAACATAACGTTCCTTTTGTAAATGGAGTTCCTGGTTTCTCTCACGCAAAGCAGCTATCTCTACAGATTTCTCCTCAAGACAACACTCCTTTTGTTTGAGTTCTTGGTTAGTCTTTTGCAAGGCGTCCGTCTTTGCATCTTTCTCCTCAACACAACACTCTTTCTCTTGTTTCAGTGTTTTGTTTTCCTTCAGCAAGGCAGCTATTGCTGCATCCTTCTCCACCACACAGCGCTCCTTCTGTTGTTGGAGTTCCTGGTTTCTCTCACGCAAAGAAGCCATCTCTACAGCGTTCTCTTCAACACAGGATTCTTTCAGTTGTTTGAGTCCTGCGTTTGCCTTTCTCAAGGCAGCCATCTCTGCTTCGACCTTCTTGTGTGACCTCTGGAGCATTCCGTATTTCATGTTCAGGTCCTCATTGTTGACGGGCAAGACGTTGTGCTCAATTTCCTGGGCTTTCACGTTCAAATTTTGCTCAGATAGCTCAGCTGCATTCTCTGTATATGCTTTCTTCTTAGCGCCTTCAATCTCAAGCTTATTCCTTAAAGTCCTTTCCTGCTCCAGCAACAACTTGATTTCCTGATTTTCTTTTTGCAGAATCTCGAGCTTGACTTCCATCTCATCTCTATTGTTCATCTCCATCTCTACTGCGGTGATGAAATGACCTGTTGTTAAGCAAACTGAATATAATTGTTCAACTGAATTAAAGCCACAAAAATGGAGTTCACTTAGATTATCTCGTTAAAATAGACGTGCAAGTCTACCTAATGTTAGCTTGCTACAAAACCTATTTCTGCAATGATCTGACACTAGCTGGAACAGTTCCTTCTGCCTTCTGACTGATGCTCTGATGCTCTGATGAATTCACCGTCACAGCTGAGACCTGCAAACTTCTAAAGCATCAAGGCAAAGATGATGTCATCAATCTGAAGGTTCCATTTGCTGATGTCAGCGAATGCATCAGCTGACAGGAAGTAAGAATGGACCCATGCTGTTGCCTAGCAACGCAATTCTGTTTAATACATAATATTAAGAAATGTAAACGATCAAAATGCTTTATTAAGTATAATGTATGTTTGTGAAAGAGACAACCAAAGGAAACTGGTGTCATGATTCTGTTCACGTCTCCTCTCTCTGTCCTTCACTTACGTGCTTTCGTTTTTTAACCTCCTCCCATTTACTTCACGGTGGGAGACAGGAGATAATAAGGGGAGAAAGGAAGCAAGCTCATTGAAAACCAACAAGATGCAGCCGTACAGTCAGCCTGGACAGTTTAGTGATTCACTGCCATCCCCTAAAAGCTGTTAAACTTGTCACTTTGTGTTTCACAAATGTAGGGCTTTGTCGCTAATGAGTTGTGGAATGATCAATCCCAGCATTAGAACTTTTACACAAAGTGAGCAATTTATTTGTTATGAATCTAATTAAAAACAGCTTCATCGTACAATTATATAACAAACAATCTGGTAATGTTAAAACCCTTTTAGTACAAGAGGGATCTTACAATAAAGAAAATATGCAAACACTGGTTTAGAGGGAAAGTTTATACAAATGCAATGTTGTCCCCTTGTCCCACACTGCAGGACAGTGTCATAGACTGGACTGAATACATGTCGGTCATCTGGCTCTTCCAATTCACCTTATACAATAAACGTCATAAATCCAAGAAAGCGAACCCATTTTAGGCTTGAGTAATAGTTATAGACAATTATAAGCAAATAGCTGTATGGTGTTGAGCTGATAGTACAATTATTATTAAAAAGTAAGTAGGTCGTTATTAAAAACAATAATGATAAATTAAATAATAAGTAGGGGAAAAGACTACATGGCAGATCCAGATAGAGCTAATTATTGTTCTTGAGATCCTTAGTCCAGCGGAGGTCTTATGGAATGAACAGAGCTCTGTGCCCATTTCTAGAGAAACTGCGTAGGCTACACCACGAAAGAAGGCATCTGGATCTGTGGGTGGAGATGATGGGTGTTATGTTATCCTACATGATGTCATGGGCTTTTCCCTGCTGCTCACAGACCTAGAGGCCACCCGCAATACCAATTCAGGCCATGGCATAAATTGTAGGTCCTTTCCTCATTACCTTTCCGTTTACTTATATACACCACTGCCATGCTCACCTTTGCACTGGCTCTACATTTTGATCTGAACTACAAACCTGTTAAGTTCCGTGACTGTGAATCTTGCGCGCTGTTGAGGTGACAGCAACTTTCAACAGAGAGCCAAATTAACACTGTGATGACACACATAGTCTCACAACATTAAAACATGTGAGGCACACGCAGTGGTAGCTAGTAATGAGGCTTCGTAATCTGCACTCCAGTGATTTTTTAGGAACAGGTGTTAATTGTGGTATGGAGACGGTTTCTGGTTATGACAGTGAGTGATGGCAACCAACATGTGAAGGAGAAACACGGAATGTACTCGCTGAAGAACTGTAGAAGGGTTTTTGGAATTCAGTTCTTGAAAGCATGTGGATGCAGGTTTGCTTTCTTGATAAGGCTTCTGTGTTTTGCTCAAATGTCAAAGATCATTCCAAGATATTCACACCATCCAACTCCTTGTCTGGACTGCATCCTGAAATCAACCACCAACCACCAACCACCTCTGAGTGAAATTGAAATCCAGCATTGTATTGTTGCACCATTTAACGTTAAAATCATAGAGAAGAACCGTGTTCCTGCTCAGAGCCTGAGAGAAGCGCTGTGTAGTCAGAACATTTAATGAGTTGGCAGTTTGGATGGATGCTTTCACAGTCACCATAGAGCATGAACAGGAGGAGGGATAGGAAAACACCCTTGTAGTGAGCTTGTGTTGGTTTTTAGGGTGTTTGAGTGACCAGTTTGTTGGCGAGGATGACAGGCTACATGGTGTTGAATCCAAAATAAATATTAACAAATGGAAGCCTGGCAAAGTTCCGCTCTCCTTCAGGTCCCTGTGAATCTAGCAGGACAATTTTAGCATCATGTTCTGTGTATATTTGTACTCATTTTCAATGTTGGTAAAAATATGTTGTTTGTTTCTTTAAAAGCAGCGATGTTTTGACTTGAATACAAGGACACATTCTGGATTACACCAAAGGGGCCTACCCTTCATGGGTGATTTGCAGAGGTTGAATCTAAGAACTTGTTTAATGAAATGCTGTATATGGATTTAAAAAATGTAAGTCAGGCTACATTTTAGTATTTCCGATGTGTCCATTGGAGTCCAAACTGTTATCGTTATTTTATTGTTGTTCATAAAGACTAGCTCTCCATCAATATAGGAAAATGTGTCTGCATAAGATTAGGATGCATATAGCTATAAAGTATTTTAATTAAAGCTTTGAAGATATCTGAAACCAAAGGGAAATCCCTTTAAAGCTGTTCACTTCTGAGGGAAGAAAGTAGAGTGTAGATGTCAAAGCGAGTCAATAAATACAGTGAGTTATCTGGGCTCCACACAAAGGGAAGGAACATCAACAGGGATTCAAGCTGTGAGTACAAGCCTTCAACAAACCTGACATCCAGCTCCCACTGGGTAACAGGCAGGGGTGACTGCACCACCACTTGTGTGCATCACCCGGGGTCACCTGCCAAAGACAGCCTCACTCCTCTGCCTCCCAAATCTGCTCCATTGTGGCCCAACACACTCCACAGCCATGTGCACAGCCTGGTCTACCGGAGTCACCAGAATTTGCATGTGAGGCGCATCCACTGTCGGCTAGCATTACGGCTGATATCCCTTCTCATTGATTCCGACGTCTTCTCACATTTACATTTATTCATTAGGCAGACGCCCGGCTACCATGCCTCCTGTGCGAGTTGTCTTAGCTTGAGCTTTCTTGGAGTAATGTTCTGACTGTCTGCAACAAGGAGTAAACAACAGCATACTGGTGTCCTTCCCCATCCACAGGAATATGCTGACTGTTAAAGGAGATGTATTTATCAGAGAGAGAAAGAAGGGAGAGAGACACAGGTTAAGACATAGCTCTTGTTTTGAGACCTCTGAATGAGAGGTGCGCCAAGTTGTCTGTAAACCTTAACTAACCTTAACTGAGGGAATACACTCAGCAGTTTAAACCACAACATAGCTGAACTGTGATGCAGATAAGTTCCTACACAATTATACATCCTCTTTGATTTTGTGTTTACATATTATGAAATGAAGGATGTCACGTAATTTTCTTTCTTTTTTTAAGTAAACCCGGCTTTTATTTCACTTAACTTCCCTTAACACTACTTGTTCTTCTTGTTCCTGCAGGTGTTATGTGGATGACAAAGTGTCCAAAGTGGCCTGGCTCAATCGATCCAACATCATCTATGCCGGCCAGGACAAGTGGTCTCTGGACCCCAGAGTAGATCTGGTGACTAAAGGACAGCTCGAGTACAGCCTGCGCATACAGAAGGTAACACTGACCTAGAAACCGGACCAAAATGTTTTTGTTTTTTTATTCTTTGATTTCATCGTTAGATGTAATAACAGCTGCATTTAAAGATGGGAAATAACCATTTGTTTCTCCTCCTTATAGGAATACATTTAAAAATTATTAAACATAACCTTCATAAGCATATCTGTTTTTTGTATGTTCATCTATTAATTTTAACCCTTTTTTGTGCTTTAACAACAATAAATAATCATTTGAAAATAAACTAATGTTAGACTGGTATCAGTATGCACCCTCTGCTAGACAGTAAATTAGATTATCCTCCCAGAATGTTAAAGTTATCGTTTTCATTGATTATCAGTTCAGCAAGTCTTATTAAAAAATAATACATGTTTTCATAAAGGGTTAACTACCTCATCTAAACTGTCCATGCTGGGAGGTCTGCTGAAATGCTGATCGTATCTGTTATGTAATGATGATCATTCATTACTCATGTCTATAAGCTTTGACTTCTTAAAGTTGAATTAATTAATAATAATCAAAACATATTATATTGTAAAGTTGATTGAGATAATTCGACTACTTTCCTGTATAACGTTGTTTCACTGAAGAATCATAAATATTTATTTCGAGAATATTGTGAATGTTTGTCAAAATAAAAATTATAGAGTAGGATCTTGAAAAAGTAACATGTAGGAAGATAAATGAGGATAAGATGCTCTGCCAGGCATATGATAAGATATTTTCAAACTAATGAAAACAATATTGTATTTGTGATTGTGTATAGGTGGATGTTTATGATGAGGGGTCGTACACCTGCTCCATACAGACGAAACAGCAGCCCAAGACCTCACAGGTCTACCTCATTGTACAAGGTAAGTGGCACCTACACATAGACACCAGCAGCACACAACACACAACCAATCCACGCCAGCCGTACAGATTTACACTTGGAAATGGTGTCAATATATTATATTCCAAACAGAAGCTAGAACAAATTTGAAATGATTATGTCATATTTATTAAGAGTCAATCGCATCATTGTCCAACTGCACACAAGCAGCAAACAGCAGCGTCACTAAACTCTGTTATTAAACGTTGAAATGTGTCCCTCTAAGGTGCCTGTAAGGAAAATATATGAATATTTATTGTCAGGGAAAAACTGCTCTATGTCACAAACTGCCGCCTACAGCAATAGAATTTATTGTTCCAGTTGAAATTAATCTTGAGTGCACTTCAAAAGCCTTGAGCAGTAGTTTTCCATCTCAAAGAAAAAAAAAGTTTTACCTCCTGAATGGAGACAGCCAGAAAGTTGAGAGCAAGAGAGATAAGATGCTGCAGGGTTTGATCTTATAGGCCTGGAGGGTGGAATTTATATATATTAGGGCTGTCAAACGATTAACATTTTTAATCAGATTAATCACAGTTTAAAAATTAATTAATCATGATTAATCACCATTCGAACTATGTCCAAAATATGCCATTTATTTATGTATATTGTTGTGGGAATGGAAAGATAAATGAAAGAAGGCGGATATATCCATTTAACTGTGTACAGTATGTATGTTTATTATAACATTTTTCTGTGTGTCAAAATGAAAGACAGCCCACACACCTATCAATCATCAAACCGTGGGGTCTTAATTCATTACGTGTTGATTTCTATCAACGGGGGAGTACTTCAGGAAAGTCGACAGGGGGGGGGGGCGCTAGTGGAGTACTTCGTGACCACAGAGTGTGAACGTTGTGATCAGCTGTTTTAGCGCAGTTCTCCAGTGAAGGGGAGGAGTCTCCCTCCGCAGCCGGTTGGCGTAGTGTTGGCATAATTCCGTTGTACAGACCGACGTTAACAGCAGCCCTGTCTGTGCACACCAGAGATGTTCACAAGTCTTTTTTTGCAAGTCCAAGTCAAGTCTCAAGTCTTTGGTCACGAGTCCAAGTCAAGTCTCAAGTCTTTGTGGGGTGAGACTTGATCAAGTCTCAAGTCTTTGGTCACGAGTCCAAGTCAAGTCTCAAGTCTCTTCTGGTTGTAATAAGCCTTCTATTGTCTGCTGCTATCCAGTCTGTTAAGAATACTGCACAGCTATATCTAAGAAATTCAAAGC